CAATGCAAAGTCCTATTCCGAAAAAAAAAGGTAATTTACCTAAATATGACTAAAACATAATGACTTTCTTAATAAAGGACCATATATTTTTATTTCCCAATATAGGACCTTTGGTCAGTATCTATTAGTCGTTATTCAACTAAATGTCCAGCATCACTTGAATATTATTATTTTCAATGGTCATTATTAAGTTTTATTTAAGAAATAAAAAAATTTAATTCTTACATTGAGAAATGACTTATGTTTTAATTTTATTCATCGCAAAATTTCACACAAAAAAAACTCTAAAAAAACTTCAATTCAATATGAGAAATATCATACAGGTAAAAGAACAGAAGTCAATTTCCACAAAATAGAGAGGATTCTGACTTTTATTCTAAGAAGACAGCGTCGGAAGATTTCCAAAGTGCCCCATAGCTTTAATAAAATAAAAAAAAGAAACCCCCGTTTCTTTTAACGGGACGATGTTCTTTCAACCTGTACAGAAGAAATTACAGGCGGCACAAAATTAACGATACGGAGGACGACGACTCTCATATGAGTAGCGAGGGAGTTAATTATTTCCCCTGTTACAACAGCTGGCAACTTTAGAGAAAAAAAAAACAGATAAAGATAGATACAAGAGGTGCATGTATATATGTGTGAGGAAATTTAATTAATTAATTAAATTCGCTCCTCCTCGACCAGGACTGGGTATGGTCTCAATGGAAACCACCGGCGGCGGAGAGCGCAACATCGCGCGGCGGAGATGGAAGCAGGGTCATCGCGAAAATCCCGCTTGCGGCGGCCGATATCGCTCCCACCACAAATGCCGGCAGGTTCCCTCCTCCGAACAGCGAGTCCCACGGCCCGCTCAAGAACGACACCAGCATCTGCGACGGGTCAAAAGATAGATTTATTTAACCTCACGAATAAAAGCAAATTTTACCTATAAATAGTTCGCGGTAAATGTGTCAAAGTGACATTTTAAGGTTACATAGAACAAAATTTAATTATTCATTTAAAAATGATTTAATAAGATTTATAAAAAAAATTATTTTTAGAAAAATTATGTGAAATTTGTATTAAATAGTACTAAAACAAATGTTCTTTCTTAATTTAATGTCTAATTTTTTTATTTTCTAAATAGTACTTGAATAATGTTTATGGGCGAGAAGAATATGTTATGATGGTAAACATTTAGTTTGAATAATATCGAGTGACGCTAGACATTTACTTGAACAATGACAAGTTGATATTGAACAGTGATACTATATTGGCAAAATAGAAATACATGGTATATATTGGAAAAATCATTATATTTTAATACGGAGTACTATTTAGGTAAATTTGTACTTACTAAAAAATATGTCTTTTTATATGACAATAGTATTTCATCTAAATATAATACATTTTACATTCTTATTTTGTGTAAGATATGGAATGACTTATATTAATCTTATTTTTAAAAAAATATTTTTAAATTGCACATTCTTGTTTCATTTAAATCTAATAAAAAATGAATGAAAATTTAATTATGAAATGCGGGAATATATAATACAGTGGTACGTGGAAGCTACGTTGTACCTGCGGTATGACAATTGACAGATTGAGGACGCCTAACGAGAGACCTGCGGAAGGAAGTAGAAAATGTAATATGCACTCGTCGTGACAAAAGATAATTCACGTGTATCTCTATTATTATTACTATCCAAAATATCCTAACATTATTGACAAAATAAGAAGAAGAAAAAAATCAAATGAAATTTAAACTATGCTCCCTCCATCCAAAAACTTCTTGTTCTTTCTTTTTCTTCTTGTCCCACAAAGTCTATTTTATTCTATTAACAAATCTTTTTTATCCCTACTAATTCTTACTTAGCTCATCATAATTTTTTACTAATAATCTACACATCGTATTCTAGTTTTACCAATCACATTAAAGATATTTTTAAAAAATGAACCCAAAAGTACTCTTCTATTAAATTGTCTAAAAATTAAAACATGAATATCTTTATGAGACGAAGGAAGTGTAAGCTAGTATTTGAAACTAGCATTTCATTTTAACACTTATTCCAAAATTTAAAATTTAAAATTTAAAATTATAAGGAAAGACATGAATTTTTAATTGAGCTTTGTAATAAATTAGATAAGTTTACCTCAAATTTAAAATTTTAAATATTTTTCAAAAATGTAATTTGTCCCAAAATTCAAATTTAAAATCTAAATTTCAGTTCCCAAACATGTTGTAATATAACTTAATACGGAGTACCTAGCATGAGATTTGTCTCATTTGACACTGACAAATAGTCAAATTAAAATTCAAAATATTTAAATGAAGAATGATACTTACATGATCTCAAAATCCACATTTAAGATATAATTTTCTTATATTTTTATGAGCTTGGATGTAGATTTTGTTTTTCAAAAACAGACTTCTTTCATGTTACAAATACACTAAGTTCTATGAAATAAATATGAATCTTAGATGGCCTAATTTGTCTAAGATAAATGAAAAGAATCTTCATGGGCAGAGGTACGTAGCGACTAAAACAAACTAAAGGTGTTTTACTAAAATAAGGTGTTTCATTCCGAAATCACTTGACTATTTTTAGAAAATCATGAACCAATAAAATAAATCACACAAATAAATAATGTGAAAAGAATCTTCAAGGAGTGACTAAAACAAACAAACTAAAAGGAGTTTTACTAAAATTAGGTGATTCATTCCGAAATCACTAACTATTTTTAGAAAATCATGAACCGCTAAAACAAAAAACATAAAATAATTAAATTACTCCGTCTTTTTTGACATTAAATGTAAAAATATATGCCGAACATGATATATGTGACTTGAATATGATATTAATTTTTTATACATAAAATTCTCGACGAAATTAAAAAACGTTAACCCATCCTTATCAATTGGAGGGAAGGATTAAATTAAAGTAATTAAAAACGTTAACCCATCCTTATCAATAGGACGGGAAGGATTAAATTAAAGTACAGTTCGACTAAGGGGCTGTTTGTTTCAGCTTCTTAATGGTTCAGATGTCTGAATGATTCAGCACTTAATGATTCAGACTGTTTGTTTCAGTCTCTTAATGGCTCAGATGTCTGAATGGTTAAGAGATTTGCCTCTGAATGGTTAAGTATTATACAGAGTCTGAATAGTTAAGAGCTGTTATCTGAATTGATCAGACATTTGCCTCTGAATAGTTAAGCAATATACTAGCTCTTAATGGTTCAGACCTCTTACTGGTTCAGCACTTAATGATTCAGACCTCTTACTGGTTCAGCACTTACCCATTCAGAAGTTGTCAAACAGCCCCTAAGAGAGCTATAAGCATTAGGAGCACCATTATTGAATTATTTGTCGCTTATGGACATTTTATAATGTTACTGCCTAACCCAAGCTATTGCTCCGTACCAAAACGATAGAATTATTATTATTAAACGGGTCGCTGTAGAGTTGATCATTCGTAGTCGTGCCCAATAATAAATACCGGAGTAGATAAATGATTGGTGTTTGACTTTTTAGTCATAATTGCAAAATGCATATATTCCTATTTTAAAATTATTGTCCTAATTTGTGTTTTAATTAAAACTTTGATAACAAATGTTTAAAACTACATATTTACTTCTAATGTAAAATTAATATAATTTAATTTATTTTAAAATTTCATTTTTATATATCAAACTCTTATACTTTGTAAGATTTATTTATTTAAAATAATATTTAAGATATGGTTAAATAGAAACTAAATTAGGACAAAATTTTGAGACGGAGAGAAGTAGACTTTATGTCTCATAAAATCCTTGATATTATAAATTACTGCGACTAAATAAATAAACCATACAATTTATAAACCCGTAAAGTAAAATGTATGGTCTATATTAATTCCTCAGTGCAAAATAAATTAAACCACACAAATTACTTTTTTGAAAGATAGGCAAACCAAATGAGAAAAGTAACAGTAAATTCAAAAACGATAAGGACTCCAAAATTTCTTTGGTTCTGTTAAAATTACTTATAGTAGGTGGGTTTTCATGATAATAGATAGTATGGTCCTCCCTCTAAAAGTAGCCCACATTTGGCGACTATTTTGAAGGGAAAAGAACAGTGCTCGGTAATTATAGGGAGTATTTTACTTGTAGTTGTCACTTACTTTATTTGTCACTTTTGTTTAAGGAATGTAAATTAAATTCCAAAAAAAATACGGAGTAAATGAAATTCTCTTTTCTAGGTATCAATAACCTATTTTATGAACTTAAATCAATAAACTATGGGTAATGGTCAAAAGGCAAAAGCAATTACTGCGTATAATTCTGTAAAGAAATAAGAAATGGCCGGTCTATTTTTTTTACTATTATCCGAATTTAAGGTATATTTTCAAAATAGCCATTTCTATATTGACTATATAAAATCCATAAATTATTAAACAACAACAACATTACCCCATTGCTTCAATAGCTCCAACCTATTGCGGGGTAAGGGGGTCGGTATACAATTTGACCTCTATAATCTATGAATTATTAAAAAATTATAAAAAATGTTTTAAAAATCGACATATCTTTAATCGGAAAAACTCATTTTGGGAAAGTACTTCATTAGAAATGATAATTTTGAGAACTTATTCTAAATGTAAGTGATAAAATACCAAAATGTCCTCCAATTAATCATCATTTGAATAACATTATTTAGAAAGGACTACATAGATAATAAATCTCAATTATAGAGGATCATGTTGGTAATTAAATACATTGAGAACTAATTTAAGAAAATACATTATAAAGAGAACCATTTTAGAAATTTATTACTGTATTATTTTTATATTCAAAGTATGAATGTAGTAACAGTGTAAGAGAACAGATTGCCTATTTTAGTAAAACACCGTGAAAATTTAGAAAATACTTTACTCTCCAGTGGGTAAAAGAATAAAGGTAGATAAAATAAAGAAAGTTATTACACACTCCGTCCCAAAATATTCACAACATTTGCTTTTTTAGCAGTCACGAGAACTTTTGTTAATTTCTACGTTTTCATTGGTTATTTGATAAAATAAAATATTCTTGACACCTCTTATTTCGAAGAACTTTTCATGTAGTTTTTTTTATATGTAAATTTTATTTTTTATTTTTATACCAATATGTAAATAAAATGAATTGAAAAATCTTGATATTTTATCTCGGGAATACAAATGTGACAAATATTTAGGGACGGGAGTAATATTTAAAAACTGATTCGCCTTTCTATTTTTTTCTTTATCCCAAAATACATTTCTTATTCAAAAACATTATTTTCTCTCTCTATAAAAAGATTAATTTTTTCAACCTATTCTTTTTAATTATTATTTATGCTTATTAAATTCATATTAGATCAGTTGTTAATGGAGTCTCACAGATTGTTATCCACACAATTTGAGTAGGTGCAGTTTTCATGTTGAATGATTTAAAAAATACTCGGCACAAATTAAAATTTGTTTGAATTTTCTGTATAAACCTAAAAGAATCATAATTATTGACTTTTGGATAGATCTAAAGAAAAAGGAAGATTGTACCGATAAGAAAAAGAAAAAAGTATGATGCGAATAAATTAAAAGTGGGAGTTTATCACTACCTTGGCCGGCGCCAGCATTGCTCGAAAAGATGGACGCTAGAGCGAATGGGATGCTAAAAGTGACCTGCCCATTGAAATCAACACATATCCAAGTCAATTATATTTCTTTGCTGCAACTAAAGTTGTGTTAAAAAAAAGGCAAATTTTAAAATTAATAATGGTAATTTTAGAGTCACAAATTAAAAATTCATAAAATTTATGAATTTGTTTCTTTGGAATCTAATTAAGATTGTAAAATATTTTTAATTTATTTCAAAATAAAAATTTATATTTACATTTTAATACTCCCTCCGTCCCAGAAAACTTTTCTCATTTCTTTTTTTATCGGTTCCAAAAAACACTTTTCATTTTTATTAAAAAGTCACTTTTACCCTTACTTTTTCATAGTCTACCTATCACATCATATCTTTTTACTAATAATCTATCCATCAAATCATACTTTTATCCATCACATCAAAAGACATTTTTGGAAATTTAATACCAAAATACACTCATCTTAAATCCCTCCCCAAAACCAAAACTTCCATGTTTTCTGGGACAGAGGGAATATTATACTTAAAAATTTTGTGACTATTTAGTTAGTGAATCTAGTATTTCCACTCGATTTAAATTAAGGCCAAATAGCTTCCATGCCCCCTGTGGTTTGGAAAATTGGCACCAATACCCCCTCTGTTTTCAAAACTTATTTCTAAAATCCTCGTGATTTTAAAACGTTACACCCACATCTCCTCCGATCATTTTCCGGCAAAGAGGGGACATTGGCGCATAATTTCTAAAACGAAATATGGAAAAACGAAATGAAAAAAATTAAAATATGCAAAAGAAGTCTTATACAAAAAAATTAGACACGCCTAAAAAAGTACTTAGAATTAAAATGTTCAAAAAGGATATTCTTTTTTATTTTTGTATTATTTTGTTTCTTATTTTATTCCTCAGCTCTTGAAGTCTCAAAAAAAATTTACTTTTTTTCAGAAAAAACAAAAATTGTTAATTTGAGACGTACATATGCATTATATCTTAATTTTTTCTAACAAAAGTAACTTTAAATTTTAAGAAACATTATAAAAAAATCTTTATTAATAAATGAAATAAAAAAGGAAAAAATGGAAAAAACAAAAAATATGCAAGAAATAAAAATCAGAACTGATACCCCCTATGGTTTAAAAAACATGCACCAATACCCCTCTTCGCCGGAAAAATGGCTGGAAAATGATCAGAGGGGGCACGGGTGCAGCATTTTGAAACCACAGGAACTTTAAAAATGAGTTTTGAAAACAGAGGGGGTATTGATGCTTGTTTTGCAAACCACGAGGGGTACCAGCGCTATTTGACCTTTAAATTAAGGATAATAATTTATTTTCACCTGTAATTAGACCGTCTAAAGCAAAAAAGAAAGTAACGGTTTGAAAATGTGGTCAGACTTACAGCAAGAGGAATCCCGAGGGCGGAAAAGAGGAGCAGGGCACCGGCTTTGACGCCGGCGGTCGGCGGCAGAACGTGGCCGGCGGCATCGTGTTGCCGGGTGTGCTGCGCCATTTTGGTGACCAAGACCGTCATGGCCAAGCAAATCGCCAGTATGAAGTTGACGCAGCCCCAGAGCTTCTTGACGCCGCCGAACCGCCGCGCAACCAGCTCCACTCCGATGGACATGAACCCCAGAACCACCGAGTTGAGGAGGAGACCCAACGCGCCGGCATGGACTCCCCTGGCGTAGAGGCGGTCGCCCACTACTCCGCCGTACACCTCCTTGGCCATCCAGTCGGTGTCGTACAGGAGGAAAGGGAACCACGCAATCCAGTTGAGCGCCGTGACGAGCAACAGAATCCACATCGGCCTCGGAAGGTCCCTCAGGGCGCCGAAGATCTCGCCGAAGAAGGGGACGCCGCCCGCCGCCGCGGCCTTCTCCTTCTCGCCGGCGGGGACTTTGATCTCCCTCTCCTTGACGAAGGTCAGCGCCAGGGTGGTGACGACAAGCAAGAGCGCCACGGAGATGAAGAAACAGCTCTTGAGGTTGGCGCAGTAGACGTCGCAGGCGTCGGTCATCGAGAAGGGGAAGACCTTGTGGAGGCCGGAGAATGAGCCGGCGGCGTAGCCGAGGACGTTTCCGACCGCCATGAAGAAGGAGAAGAGGGAGTTTGAGGCTCGCATCTTGTCCGCATTACCGCTCGAGAGATCCGCCAGCAGTGCTCTGCATGGACCCTGATGATCATCAACAACAACCCCATTCCATTATTTCATTGTTACTAATTACTACCTCCCTTCATAAATTTTTTCCCCAATTGGTCCAGCTTTTTATGGAAAAATATATATTTTATTATCATATAAATTACCATCAATAGTTTAATTTTGAAATAATATGATTTTGAAATAGCTTAATTCACCCCTGAATTCTTTGAAAATTGCATGGTTTACCCCCGAACATTAAAAAGTGCACCAAATACCCCTGAATTCTTCAGAAATTGCACGGTTTACCCCTGAACAATAAAAATTGCACCAAATACCCCTGAACTCTTCGAAAATTGTAAGGTTTACTCCTAAACATTTAAATAAAGATGACAATTTTGGGTAAAGATATTTTGGAGAATTCACAAGGGTCAGATGAATGATATTCACAATTCTTGTGCGTGGAAGCAACACCCTCTCTATCTAATAGTTTACGACCAACGATGCAACATTTTAATTTGTTCAAAGGTATTTGGTGCATTTTTAGTCTGCAGTGGTAAATCGTGCAATTTTCGAAGAGTTCAAGGGTAATCGATGCACTTTTTAAAGTTCAGGAGTAAAACATGCAATTTCTAAAGAGTACGGGGGTAAACTGTGCACTTAACTCAATTAGAAATTGTGCAGAAAAGTAAATAAGTGAAAGAATTGTTTAAGACAGATTGAAAAAGAAAATAGGATGATTAATTCCACTAGCAAAAATTACTTCCCTATATAAAAAATTGAAAATTTACCAGATCCGAACATGATAAATTTAATTAAATTGTTTTTGTATTTATAAACAGCACACTTATTTTGAGTCGAAATAAATAAATAAATAAATAACACACTTATTTTTAATTGACCATCAAAATTATTCCACTTTGAATGCAATATACATCAAACTCAACAAAATAAGTACAATATATCTGTGTTTATTTTTATACGGACTACTCCGTACTTATTCGCAAGTGAAAATATATATAATTCATGTGTACAAAAAAGTAGTACCTGCAACATGTTATTGGCAACGTCGAGGATCCAGAAGCCGACGGCGAAGACGACAACGGATCGGGGCTTAGTGGTTTTCCCGAGGGAGTCTCCGGCGGCGTGGCCAATGTCAGCGGCGAAGCCGATGAGGGAGACGGCGAGAATGACGAGCAGGGCGCCGGAGGCGATGAACGGGCGGCGGCGGCCGAACCGCCAGGTGCAATTGTCGCTGTAGTACCCGACGAGGGGCTGGACGATCATGCCGGAGATGGGGCCGCAGAGCCACATGAAGGAGGCGAATTTGTGCGGGACGCCGAGCAACTGGACGTAGGGGGTGAGCAGGGAGAGCTGCAAAGCCCACCCGAACTGGACTCCGGCGGCAATCGCCGCCACCAGCACGATCTTCCATATCGGCGTCTGCTCCGCCGCGGCGGCGGACAATGCGTCGTCGACTTGCAAGGAGGAGGGTTTTGTGTTCCCGGAGGGCGTCTCCATAGCGGCAATTACAACAGGTGGGAAAGGGGGTGGGG